ACTTGTAGTAGCATTTTTAGTACACTTTGAAGTATAGTCTTAGTAAACTAGTTTAGTAGTTTTATACTGCAAGTATACTCGTAAGTTTTCTTTAAGTGAACTTTACATCATACTTTAAGTATACTACTATGTCCCTATTTAGGTATTCATTTGTATATATTTTGTTATATAAATATCTGAACATACAAAACACCAAAAGAAAGAACAGGGTATCTGCTTGTAAACAAAAACATTTTATTCTAGCTTCATGCATTCTGTTTTTTAAACACTTGAATGTGGATAAGTTTCATAAATAAAAAATAAAGAAATAAACAACATTTTGAACAAAAAGCTGAAAAAAAGAATATGAATTGGATTCAGAACGATAATCAAAACGTAGATAGAGTCGATCAACACCCCAAAGCTTGACAATATATATATAAAATATTATGTATAATATAATAATATATATAATATAAATATATATATATTTATTTTTTTTTATTTTTTTTTTACATTTATTAATATTATATCCCTCCATTTCTGTACCCATAATCCCAAAATATACTGTATAATATGGTTATTTAAAATTCAGAATTGAAGAATTGCAATGTATTTAAACTGGCCACACCAAACAAGAATTTGATTGATTTTTTGAACAATATATTGAACTGCAACTCAAATAAATTCAACACCGGTGATATATTCTGGGAAATTAAGTGTTCTTTTACACTGTGCACTGGTGTTCTGAAATGAGGAGGCAAAGTCCTGTTATTTTATTTTTTTTATCAAATGTCCCAGTCACATTTTCTTAGTTAAACATTACTCACACTATCAGAAATAGAGAGAGAGAAAAAGAAAAAGAACAAAAACAATTCTATTTCATATTTTTACATTAACATTGTAATCAACACTCTATTTATTAAAGCCAAGTATGAATCTCATCAAGTCATCAAATCTCTGTAAATATTGGTCACAGACACAAGATTTACTATAAAATTCACCAAACTGATTACTCACTAAAAACTCCCACAGATCATGTTTTCAGGCCATTTCAAGTCGTATTTTTATGTAACAAAGTGGTTATATCTGAGTATGTGAGTTGTCGTACTTTTTTTTTTATTTGTTTCCCCATTACGCCATTTGTTCATTCAGACTGATTCACGAATGCGGAAAGCACGTGAACACAAGAGGCAGGATTTATCGCATTAACCAAACTTTGGTGTTTTTGGGAAATTCTGTACAGAAAATGTGTACTAGCGCCCCCTACAGTATAACAGTGAAAACACGGATTCTAGGAACACAAGTATACACTCTTAAAATAAAAAGTGCTTCAGACAAAAAGGTTCTTCTATGGCATCGTGAAGCACCTTTATTTTTAAGAGTGTAGCTCAAATATATTTAGACTTTTTCTAAGTAGGCTATAAGTCTAGTATACTTAAATGTCATTTTAAGTATATTTCTGAGAAGTACATAAAGCCCATTTCTGAGAAGTACATAAAAAGTAGACTAAAAGTATACTTTCCTGTTTTTTTGTTTAAAAGAAGTAGACTAATAGCACACTTGAATAAACTTCTTTTTTGTAAGGGTTGGCCTTGAATAGGCACAAAGTTCTGTCTTTAGCGAGATTAGCATTAGCTAATTTGCTTCTTAGTGAGATGTGCTGCCCTCCAAGGCATGCATATAAGATAGGTCAAAGGTCATGGTAACTTCCCTTGTCAGTTTGTTCCTGAGGAGAAAAAAGCTTAATTAATTCAGCAGGTTATCAGTTCCAACCTTTCTCGCTGACTTGTGCTCACTCATTTACACACACACACACACACACACACACACACACACCTTTAAAGGTTTTTCTTTTCTCATGATCTAATTTTTTTTTGTGGAGCTGTGGTGAATATGGCACTGTCCTTGCCCATGGGCCTCAGGCATGTTTTATTTATGAATCTGATTAAGCCTAGTACAGTGTCCGTATGGGATAGAGATCCATAAAAGCGGTGAGGGAGCAGTGCACAGTGTAATTCTCTTTCATTATCTGCTGCTGTATAAGAGGGGAGGCTCCTCGCATTTAATTGCGAACAAGAGCTCGCACAATGCTCTTTGAAATTCCCCGCTCAGCTCGCTAAATCAAACTTTTAGTAACATTCAGCGAAGGGCACAGCGTGGTGGTACTTCAGGGGCTGGCATCCAACGCTGCCTTGAAGCCTAGACAAATGTTCTCGTGCTTTTCAGTGAAGTGCTCATTAATATGCCTGAAGGACTATAGGCCCACCAAATGTACAAGGGAGGAATGTTCAATATTCAAAGTGTGCGACTGATTGCGTTTTATCTTTCTTTGCAATTCATTGTTAAGTGATTCCAAACTCATTGCATATTGGCCCACAATGGCTTATAAAACACTGCCCCCGTCACAGACTATACAGTAATGTATTCTCAGGGGTGCATACAAAGCACAATGCTCATTTATAGCTATAATTTGGGTCATGCTGGCTCATCTTAAATGAACCACCGTGGATTACTGTACAAAGTTAATAGTGTATGGCAGCATCGTTTCCTCTTTAGTCATAAAAGCATCCCACCCTGTCACTTACACCCATGTGTCTTACCTTTATTTGGGTCAGTCTGGCAGTCCATCTCCCCTCCTTTCTGAGCTACCGAGTTAGTAGGATGCCATCAGAGGCCCATCAATCCCCAAAACGACAGCTTGAAGACCCTCCGCAAATAACTGCATGCAGTGGAAGCACTGACAGCCGAGGCGGACGAATATGACAATAATGATTTTATCTACAGCACAGAAAATAAAACTGTCAGCCCTATTAGGATTTAAAGCCAGGAGAGAGGGAAGAGAGAGGTATGGAGAAAGAGGTGGAAGAGGAAGAGTGTTTGAGGGCTTGTGAGCTAGAATGGATTTTTATAAAAGAGCTGGACAGCTGGAGTGGATGAGCATTAGTCATGAACAAATGGTGCAGTTTATTTGTGGTAAAGACGTTAAAAAAAATACTTGCCTTGGGTATTTCGTATTTTACTAGAAGGGATGCTCATGATAACTTGCCTTTTTTTAAATATTATGCACAAACTAAGTTTGAGCTTTCTGCAAGTGTTTTTTTTGCTTTTGAAAAGAGTCATTGTCATTGTAATTTATGCAGATTAGTCGACTCAGTTGAAATTAACTAATTTTGTGCATGAATCAATGCTTCTCACTGCCTGATGTTTTATCTTGGTTTGGGTTCAGTGCCAATTTGTCTTTTTAACAGGTTGTAGACCATTTGAAGACATCTGTGCTTCCACATGCAGCAACATTCTTGGCTCTGAGTGTAAAACTTCCCTGAAGAAAGTTCTGCATTTTGACAATTGCACTGTTTTCTCCTCCAAGGCATTAAATAAAAGGAACTGTATTTTCAATTACACATACAGTACAAAAATAGTTCTAAATAGAACCTGATCAGGATTATTTTATTTTTATTTTTACATAAAGAACCATGCTTTGAAAGTGCTATATAGAACCTTCAATTTTAAAAATGTATATTTTTTATTTTCCTTTTTAATATTAGTTTATTTTTATTCATTAATAAAGCAACACACACTATTCTAAAGTTTGGGGTTGGTAAGATTATTTAATGTTTTTTTTTTTTCATAAGTCTCTTATGCTCACCAAGGCTGCATTTATTCAAATGTTCTATTTGAATATATTTTAAAATGTAATTTATTCCTGTGTTGGTGTAGCAAAGTGGCATTGGGCAACAGAAACAGTAACACTGGAGAGATGACTATGCCACCCTAGGACTTGCACCCATGGAAATACTACGCACACTCAAGTGAAACTCAAGGCAACACAGGTTCAAGTCTACTTAAATAGGAGCAAGAGACGTGGGTACAGAAATATATTTTATTTTATTGATTCAATTAATAAATTATTTTGCTAAAAAGAATCACACAAGCAATAACCAACTTAAAATGATAGTACTACCTGCTGCTGATCTCCAAAATACACAACACACAAAAAGGTTTACAGGGCTGTGGCCAACTGGTATCAAACTCCTAAAGAAGCATAAATCTCAGTTATCACACACTATCAGTGCACACATTCACACACTCACAATACCCAGTGAGATTACTGTCGGTGATCGACACAGCACGACACTGCACACGGTGACAAGACAGCACCACCACCACCCAAGTGTGGAAAATCTGCCTCCCTGCTTTTTGTTGGACACACAGCACCTGTGATTAGATAAACCACATCGACTTAATAAACCACGCACCAACACACTAATTCACACTGAATAAAGAAAAAAAATATATAAACTTAATTATAACAAAATATAATTAACTCAATTTCTAACAAAATCAAGAACACAACAGAAAAAAGAATAACAATTTCCAACAACTGGTTCAAAAAGACAATGAAAAGAAAAAGCAAATTAATAAACTTTAAAGATGAAATACACGCAGAATGAAATAAAACAAATATTAAAGTATAAAGCCAAGATGAACCATCCAACGAAAACGCAAATAAAAGAAAAGCAACTAATGCACAAAAGCGAAATTAAACAAAACTAGACAAATAAACAAACAACAAGACAGCAGCGTATTTCTGGGGACTGATGTTCAGACTAAACCACGTGCACTGTAGCAGGAACCCTCCAACATATTACTAAAAAAAGAAACAATAACATGGCAGTCCAACCAAACACCAGTCACAAACTTTAACCAGTTGACATCTCATACGGCTATAAATGGTACAGAAATGCTAACATTAGTATAACAAACCAATACAAGAGACGCTAAACCACACTGCTGTAATGCTTACCTTTCCAATAGACGCACAAAATCAACCCTAAGCGAGCTGTGGCTGAATTAGCCACACCGCTAACAAACACACAGTGTCGAATGCCAGTACCAGAAAGGGGGCGGGGGCACCTGAGTAACACCTCCGACTGACACAAATCAGCCCTTTATAGAGCTTGGCAACCGACGTCACTGCGCAGTGCATTCTGGGACGCAAACAAGAGGCGCCGCCATATTGTGAGGCCACATCGGGCGAGACTTAAAACAACCAGTTACTACACGAAAATGTGTCGAAAACAATGTTGAAAAGTCGATTAAATGAATGAAATGTACTATACAGAGACAAACTTCTACCGGACGCAAGAAAACGGTACCTGGAAAAGATGGCATTGATCGGAAATCTGGATCCGTATGAGGTGCCTGCAAGAGAATGTACTCGAGACCCCGACGATTTACCTCCTCTGACATTTCCAGATATTTTTGTATACTTAGTCTGTGGTGTGAGTGCTTATACCGAGGCTCAGTTTCGTAATTTTAAATCTATGGAAGCCCACGTTCAGTTCACAAATGGCTGGGTCCATGACTTGGAAGTCTACAAACCGCCGAGTTGTGAAAACACCGTCGTTCGTACAAAGGTGTGTATCATCTTGCTTACCTACCTGTGATTAGTGAAACACACATCTTTACACAATATTTAATCAGAATATATATATATATATATAATTGTTATTATTATTATACTTGTGTCCACTGCTCTTTTCATTTACTGTTGTTCTGCATGTACACAGGTTATGCACTCACAGAGATTGAATGAGCCTCCTCTAAAGCCCTGGGTCATTGTGAGCAGCGCTGGGAAGGTGGAGTGTGCCCATTGTGATAGCTGAGACCTGTACTCATGTAGGTGCTCTCTTGTTCAAGTTGGAGGCAACAGTTCGAATTCGTGGCACAAAGACTGTCACTGATATGCCAGCATACTGGGTTTTGCCCAGTAACTTGAGCAAGATTCACCCAGAAGTGGGATATAGGATTAACTACACCACCTCAGTTACGCAAAGGAAGACATTAGACCAGCGAATAAATACGCAGTCCACAACACCAGCCATAAGGAGTCGGGCACAGAAACTGAAAACTCCTCAAGGTAATCTTGAAGATTTATCACCGCTACTTGATACGTTACTGCACCATAGCAAGGCCGTTGGTTTGTCAGGGATGGAGAAGTACTATGCACAATACACACAACACACAGCTGCTGCACCATCCTCTGCTTTACCTCCATGCCTGGCAAAATCCCTGTATGATGAAAGCATAGATGCCAGTGACCTGTCGGCTGTCTTGCTGGTCTGTGAGAAGCACATGAATGCTGTAAGTGTGACTGACGAGCAGGCAGCAGCTGTAGAAGAGTACACCAGGCAACAACATCTGTCGTCTGCGTGGTATGATTACAGAAGCGGAAGAATTACAGCGTCAAAAATGCATGCTGTATATGCCACCTCTCTGGAGAGGCCATCCCACACAGTTTTGAAGCAGGTGTGTTACCCACACACACAGCACACAGTATCAACTGTCCAAACCAGATGGGGTATCAGTCATGAGGGGGATGCTAGAAAGGCCTACACTGAATCCAGAGCTGCATCTCACACAAACTTCAAAATCGAACCGTGTGGCTTCATAATTAACAGCAGCTTCCCTGAAATCGGAGCGTCACCGGATGGCCTGACTATGTGTGAATGCTGTGGGAAGGGCTGCCTGGAGGTGAAATGTCCTTTCAAGTATCGGTCCTGCAGCATCCAGCAGGCACTGGACATGAAGGACAAAGACTTTTGTCTCCAGTTGTCCTCAAACAACCTTCAGTTGAAAAGAGACCACCGCTTCTACACACAGATTCAGACACAGATTGTTGTCACCCAATCAAATCACTGTGATCTTGTTGTTTGGACTGAAAACGATTTCACTGTGGTGCGTGTCTTTCCAGACCAGGAGTTCTGGGAACCTCGTCTACAGAAAGCACAAGAATTCTTCAAGAAAGTGTGCCTCCCGGAACTTGTGGCAAAATATTACTCAAAGGACATGCAGCTTCATGTTCCAAGTGAAAGAGAGCAGTAGTTTGTTATGTTGTTTATGAAAGATTTGCACTTAGGCCTACACAGTTAAGACTTTTTTTTTTGTAAGTGTTTTACTTGACTCAGAGTATTAGCCTGTTACTTGAAATTCAGTGTTTCAAAGTAGTTCAACACAAGAAGCACAAGAAACTAAACATTGCACTTTGCAGGAGATTTTTTATTATTAAAAAAGAATGTTTTTAATGCTCAAATTGTCATCCATTTTCATCTGAAGTATTTAATGTACAAATAGCATACCATGTACATTCTAAGGAAGGTACACACACACACCAAATACAAACATGTTCAATCTCAGGAGGGTACCACACATTCATACACACTAGCACACACCAAATAGAAACCAAAAATTTCTACTATTCAACATGCACACTTTTCTGTTTCATCTGGCCTTACAACAACACTTGGACACATGTTAACTAGAATACAGCAAACATTAACTATCTTATCAAGAAGGGTAAATTCTTCATCCTTACAGGGAAGCAACAAACTAATTGGTATTGTGTTATGTAATAGTGTGTATTTATTGCGCAAGCTACCTATTACCCTTTCTACATGTATCCTAAGGTGTGCTATAGCATGTGTGTCTTCCACATCCTTAGCATCGAGTTGACATCTGCGTTTAGTGAATGCAGGAATTTTAACTTCCGCGCACATCATTCCCACACTGTCTTTAATATCAAAGCCTCGGTCTGCCAACACTAAATCGCCAGGCAACAGTTTGTTAAGATGCCCACAATTCTCGGTTATGTGCTTGTCAGATGCTCGTCCCCCCCATCCATTTGAAATAAATTAAATTTGGCCTTGGGGTTTAATTCCTATCAAGTATTTCATTGTGTGTGTACCTTTGTAGTGGGAAAAGGATTGTGCCCGCGCCATTAAATTTGACGCCTCTCTGTACGTATTTCAAAACAGTCAACAATAATCGCAACACGCTTTCCAAAAGCTTCCAAAAATTGATGTGGCATTGTGGCTTGTAAACAGTGTCTCTCAGGCCAGTACAACAAGGGAGTAAGGCGTGCATACAGCACATCTATGGTGTCGGCAAAGGTAGCAGAAAGAGTTCTACGTGACACATTAAAAATGTGTGAAAGATGCTGGATTGGAAGATCAAGCCTTAGACGAATGAGTGTCAGTAAAACCATTTGAAATTGTGAAAGCTTCTTTGCAACTGGCAGGAAGGGCTTAACAGTAGTAAACATTGACAACAAAATTGCAAAACATGGAAGTCCTGTATAATATCGTACCTTCTCTGTATTATCTTTGAAAAACTCTTCATCCATCTTAAACTTGTTTAACTCAGACCTAAGCTCCCTATTTTCCTGCAAAAGACGGGATAGTTCTGCACTGCTTTGCTCACAGAACTGGCATTCTGCTCTTAGTCTCTTAGCAGCTGGTTTGTCTGTTTCTGTCTGTTCTCTATATTCCTCCTCTTCCGCAGCTCCTGCCTCTGCTTGATCCCCATATCCCTCTTCTTCTGCATCTTCTTGGACTCCATCTCTCTCATCTTCGTTCATGTTGTTTTGTTCAGTTTGGCCTCCTCCCTCAGATTCTCTCAAATTATGTCTATGTTGTCTGCGGGCATGCCGATCTGACACTGTGGCTGTGACTTCAGAGTGACCCAGGTGCAGGGTTGGAGCCCAGTCTGGATGAGACTCGTCCATCTCATATGCTGGTTTACCTTTAGACAAAAGTATCCATATTGAAACAAATTATTGCAATCAACAATGGGAATACTATAGAGAATTTCTCGTGCTTCAGTCACAGTGATCAAAACTAGCTCTCTAGTTCTGGCTGGGTTACACCTCGGAATATCTGAGTGTTTTGTTTTGATCACATTCATTCAGCGCACTTTATTTGAACTAGCCTAACTTAGCTTGCTCACTTTGCCGCAATGTCGACAGAATAGTGCTAAGTTACAAAATGCAGAGAAACCTATGACTACTCCTCTCGGGAACAGAACAAAATGAGAACACAATCATTTGCTAAGTGAAGTTTATACACTTACCTGAATGAAAATGCTTGGAACACACTTTTAATGATCTTGGGATGTCTGCGAAGTGTATGTCCGTGCGTCTTATGGCGGATATCCAGGCCATCCGTCTCCGCTTGGTTACATCGGACACATGACTCCCTTCATTATGTTTCCAGGCCGGAAAACAATAAAAAGAAAGTCCATGTCTAATTTCTTGCCAAGTCGATCGTGTGAACGGACATTACATCCAACAATACAACAGGTTCTTCCCATGACTACAACTTCCTCGACGCGTCACAACAAGTGGCCTCACAATATGGCGATTTTTCCCATCAGCCACCGCGCCGCTAGAGCCGTGACGTCAAGCCCCCATTCCCTATACACCCACCTATGCCTGCTGATAGGCTAACAATATTCTAACGTCAATACAGGGAGCGGCTAACTACCCTGCCACATTGGCAAAGCTAAATTTTCAGCAGCCACCAGAGTCACATGACGCTTCAAAAGTCATTATAATATGCTAATTTGATGCTCAAGAAACATTTCTTATTATTATCAGTGTTGAAAACAGTTAATATTAACAGCTTAATATTTAGCTAATGGAAACTCATCATTTTTTCAGGATTCTTTGATGAATAGAAAGATATACATGTGTTAATTAATGCTACACATTAGTTTACAATGTTTACAACGGAGTAGTAGAGACAGATCTCTTAATCTCCAATATAAGATATTCAACATATCTGTAATTGTAATTCTTTAAAAACTTTGAACCCATTCTTCTCAGTTCCAATGTTGACATTATTGCATTCTGCTTGGGCAACATAGCCTAACCTGAGTTGTTACGGAAATACCATCACCATACACTTTAATTAGACTTAAACAGCTTCTAATGTTGTTTTAATAATAATTTATGCATGCAGGTGAAGTTAGCAGTCACCGTCAAGATATTACTGAGAGTGTGATCAAAAAGCCTGGCATTTTCTCTGAAGCTCTCACCACCTTTTGGAAGGAAGCGAGGCTGAGAAAACAATGTAATTTGACTGCACTGGGAAGTATTCATATGCAAACACAGGCTAATACAACCTTTCACTCCATCTCCATCACACCCACCCAGACCAAGATTATCTCTCCTAATCACCTTAACCCTTCGTCTCAGCCTACTGTCTGCTTGCATCTAATCTGCCCAAATTAAATCAAATCCTGTCTGGATCACTGTAATGGAGCCTTGAAATTGTGTGCAAATATTCACATTAATAATTCAAGTAAATGGTTTGCAGTATCCATGAGAAACTGTATGAAATTTTGAGACGTGACAGCATTTGCGTCCTGATTGGGCACTCTGTTCTGCATGGGGGGAGTTATTCAAATATACAAATATTAGGGTCTTGTTTAATCTGGACAGACCTTTATCACAATCCACTTGTCATGTTATCGAACCTCCACCTGACTTGCTGTCAAAAGACAAAGACATTAACATTTGAAACTGTTTCTTGTCATTACTCTGTGTGAACACGTACATTTGAATGTACAATAGTATAAAGATGAGTACATAAAATATAATCTTGTTTGTATTGTATTTTTTCATTTCTTTAACAAAAGTCTTTGAAGTGCTACCTGCATGCATGTACTCCCCTTAAAACCATAAAATGGTTCCTTTCATTGCATAGAATAACATGAAATCCTTTTTTCATCACTGAAAAATTAATGTAAACAGAGGTAGCTCTGTAGAGAGAAACTGTTCATGAAGAAATACATAAAAACCAACAATAATTCATAGATTCTATTTATAAAGGCTACACAGTTTTTTATGTTAATATATGATACTTCCTTGCAAATGCAAAAGGATGATAAAGACCTACACACATGAGCATACATAGTTGATACCCTAAGGCCTTGATTTATTAAGGTCCTAAATATAGGGTATGTGCATGTGCAATTTAACAAATTGAGTGCATTTTGTGGACATGCAAATAAACTGGCCGTTAGACACACCTGTATTCAAAGCCGGATTTTGCATATGGTAATGCCATGCAGCTCAATTCAATTTATATTATTTATTTCTACAAAATAATTGATCAGAAACAATAATTGATCAGAATACCCATATTCAACATTTCTACAACATTTACCTGAATTCACAGATGCAGTATTATTTACATATTTAAGCACATTACACCACCAAGCACATTATACCAAAAAGAAATCTAGTGTGCATTAGATAAAACCTGAGAGAACCCCTTTGGCCCACAGAGACAGCAGATCAATACCTGCTTTTCAGTCGTATTAATTTAAACATGCAGCTATCATTTCTAAAATGACTTAAAATGTTGATAATAGCTTTGTGAATGTAATTTAATCTATTTGCACTACATGAAAGCACGCCCCAAATTACATATTCACTAAGGGAAATACGTAAAAACAGCAGTGCAACTGCGATCCTCAGTAGACGTTAGTGAATCAGCTATATTTTTTTGCACATGCCATCAAGTTTGCATGTGTTTTCATACACTTAAATTTTTATCAGGGCTTCAGGGCCTTTGCATACTCTGAGATGTCACTAGACAACCTACTTTGTCAAAGTCTGTGTTTAATTTAAAATCGTACCTTCGTAATGTATGTACTGCTACCTTTTTGAACCACATTTGTATCATTTGCATTGTATTTGAGAATATTATCAGTCAGAAATTACATTATATTTCACAATGTGAAATAATCTGACAAATATGCCACTGTTTTCTACAGACTGAATATCCAGATGGCTTACACTTTGTTTCATTACATTGGAAAAGGGTAAATGTGCATAGCTTTTCACCCCTGATTAAAAAGAACATTTAAGAGATTTATGAAAAACTTGGCATTGCCAGAAAGTTATAATACGCTTGCAGCTGGCTGTCACTGTCTGACTGTGCAATCTCATTTGAGTTCATTTCAGCACAATAGCCACATTTTCAGTCTTTTCTTGAACTCTTAATCTTTCCGTTTTAATAATGCACTAACCTTAGCAATCACTGCTAACAAAGGAGCATAAGACAGAATTTTAATATGAAACGCCTATCTTTATTTTCATGATTTTTTTTTATATCTATGTTTTCCACTCTCAATAAGCCCGTCTCTCTGTCCCTCAGAAATCAGGTGAGTTCAAATCTGTCTTTTAGAAATGCTTTTCCATTTTACTGTCCCCTAACAGAAGAACGCAATGTCAAATCATAGAGATGCTCGTTAATTTAAAGAGCATTTATAATACAAAAACTTCAACATTTTCATCACATTCCTATTTTCTTCTCAATAACAGCTATGAAAGACTTTTAAAATTGATAATTATCTGGCCCTCTGTAATCAAAAACAAGAAAAAAAAACAAGCATGAGTAAAAAAAAACATTCAGCTTGGATTATAATATCCTTGAACAGCATATTAATGAATTCATGCTGAATCTCTGGTAGCCTACCTGTTTTTTTATAGCTATTCTATAGATCAGTGTTTCCCAACCGGGGTGCCGCCTGTCGAGAACAGGGGTGCCGTGTAAAAAATCCTTTTTTAATATTTTTAAATTGCTAAAATGTTCAAAAAAGCAGCTATTATATAATATCCATTTCTGATGTCGCCAATAATTAGAGATGCACTGAAATTCCGGCTGCCGAAAATTAGTTCACCGTTCAGGATTCACTTTCACGTGGTGTGACGCTCTGTGTATTATCCCGCTCTATGCGTGTGTGTGCTCCGCTCAGTCGCTCACGGCCCTGAGTGCTCCACTCATATACCATTTATGCTCATCGGAACAGCAAAGTCCACTCAAAAATTAGTTTCAAAGTATCATATCGAAGTTAGAAATTCAAATATTGTGACAAAATTAATTTTGTAGGGTGCCACAAATTTGTTAAAATTTCCAAAGGGTGCCACGACTAAAGAAAGGTTGGGAAACACTGCTATAGATCACTGAAATGTATTATCTCAATGATGAAGATGTTGGTATGGTAAAAACTTAAATAAAATGCACTTGAGGCCATTGAGAAGCTCAAAACTTTGACCTTGTAAAGTTGTTTGAGTCTTTTCATACAAACAAGCAATCTTCTGAATAAGTTCTCATGTATGTTTTTCAGCTGTTGAAATAGGATTAATGAATTAGGACTTGACATTTACTGCCCACAGTTGAAGAACTTAGGTTTTAGATCCTACTATACTGTGTTTAGTGTGAGTCAATGAATGCTAATCAGAATCTTTCATTTGGCTGCTATTTGTCTTAATTTTGTATCGCTTTCACCGGAGGCATGTTTTCCTGTTCACTGTGTTGGTCGCAGTTTTAGTGCAGATTTAATGAATTTGAATTATTATTTGAATTATGAGTCACGATCAGCTTGAAGTCAATACTATGGCCTATTGTCCTTGAGGGATTTAATGAGTTCTGGCTTCTACAGTATGTTTCCTTTGATACTGGACTCTCTCTCTCTTCTCATAGCTAGGCCAAATTTAAATAAAAAACCACAAGTCTGATGGAGGCCAAGAATCTCTTTTTTTTTTCAGGAACTGACCCAATTGCACAGGAAGAACTTATTTTGGTTCACTGTCTTTGATTTGGCAGTCTCTGGTGGTTTTTATGCAAACACTGAGCGTATGGTGCCAGGGGACATCAGAGGTCCATACAAACCACCTGCGATTGGCAGCTCACTGAAACCATAAATAAATAAGACTAAGAAGAAACGCTAGGAAAAACAAGAGGTTTGGACTCACCCTGTCCACACATGAGTGAGAAAAGGACTGACGCTGAATGAAAGAGTGACAGGGGAAGAGTGCAAAGAGATGAGAGATTGAGCGTGCTACCTCTTTGGGTTTCTCCAGTGCTCCTGGGGAATGGCGGTGGAGAGAGAAAAGAAGAACACATCACATCAATAGCTCTGTCTGTCCGAGAACTTTCTTTAAGGCAGATCTAAGTGGGCCAACTTTTGTCTCCAGTTGTCTGTCCCAGCAGTGAGGTGTCTAACGGAACCGAGAGTCACGCTGGTCCTATAAACATGAATCAGCAGTTTGTGTGCTACAGCACAATGGCACTAATATATGTCTCACGTTTTGTTTTGTTTTTTTCCCCTGTACCTGCATTCTTGCTTCAAGGCTATTTCTGGCTTTAGAAACAATACGAGTGAGAAGATAAACACATTCACACATTGCAGATAAATCATATGCACTACTAAACACGGGAATTTCAATGCATACTTCTCAGAGTGGGTAATCTTTCATAAAGACAGCATTTCACAAACTCTCTCTTTCACACGCATACACAAACCCATATGCAGAGACCACCACTGCTGT